TCGATTAAAAACTTTAATAATTGTTAGAAAAAATGGAAAGAGAAATATATGCTAAAAAAAAATAATTTGAACAAAATAAAAAAGATTATTTAAGATTATAATAATAGGATGCTTAATAGATTGAAATATAAAACGAAAGAAAGTAAAAAATTAAACTTTAGAAACAGTAAACAGCTATGAAATTAAAGGAAATAATTTTGAATACTTAAGGAATACTTTAAGTTGGACTTTTGGTTGATGTAACAGGATCTATGGATAAATATAAAGACGCAACAATGAATATTATTTAAAGATCCATGGCTTGTATTAAAGATTAAACTAATAGAGATTGTGAATGGGGAGCTGTTTGCTATTAAGATTTTGCAGAATTAAGATAAAAAGGTTAATATATATAACATAAATTTACCAAAGATGGTAATGAAATGATCAATTTTCTAAAGAATATAAATTGTGATGGAGGAGATGATGGCGCTGAAGATCTAAGGAATGGAATCAAATAAATGATAAATAATTTAAAATGGGAAAAATATTTTAAAATTGCTTTACTGATATGTGATGCTCCATGTCATGGTCAAAAATGGGCAGGAAATGTTTTAGATAATCATCCAAATGAAGATTTAGGAGATGCATTATAATAATTAATTAATAAGAATATAGTTTTAATTGGAATTGAATTCACTTCAAGTACAGAAGTTATGTTTGCATAAATGAAAAACTATTATGCAAACTAAAATAAATAATCTATGTTAATAGTAGTAGATTTAAAAAACAAAAATCAAGAATAAATCTAAGATTAATTAATTAATATTATTTCTGAAGCATCCATCTCAATAACAGAAGTCAATAAAACAGGAACTAAACTCAAAAAATAATAAAATATTAATAGAGATGGGGCATTTGAAGCATTAATAAAACTATTACCTGATCCTACAAGATTCAATTTGGATCCTAATATTGCTGTTATTTAAACTAAATTTAGTGTCTATAAGGTTGATATTAACTCAAAAGCCTTTGAAAGAAACATTACAACACTATTTAAAATTAGAATTCCTTAAGATTATTCTATAATACATGAAAGTGAATGGAATTGCATAAGAACATTAAAACCATTTGCCTTTGGACAAATTAAAGAGGTTTACTTGATGAAAAAAATAGAAAATTCCGCTGAAAATGAAGTATATGTTATTAAAATGCCTATTGGGTATTATTCATATTCTATATTTTTAGAGGCTAAACTTATAAAACAATTCAAGAAGCCTTGTTAGAATGTAGATCACATCTTATTGCCAAAAATTTAATGCAAAGATTTATTTAGGAATTATAAGATAACAATCATTAAGTTCCAATAAAATATTCAGATTTCTTAATACTCAAAGAACATGATAGTAAATAATATACTTAATATAGCTAGCTATTGGATTGCTGAAAGATTTTTTTAAGGAGAATTTATAAAATTTAATAATAACTATGGATACATTAATCCAAAAAAAGATTTGATATCAATTTTAGCCCAAGTTTTTTCTTATTACACATACCACATTAGTGAATTTTAATACATGGTCTGTGATATATAAGGAGTAGGCTATAATTTTACAGATCCAGCAATCAATACCGCTGAAGGATATCTTGATGAAATTGATTAGGGACTGGAAGGCATTGGATAATTTATTATTTCATTTGAAAAGGATAAACAAAACTTTTATAAAAAGTATTTAGATATTTTTGAATTGAATTATTGAATTATTAATATAAAAACATCAATAATTATTTTTTTATATAAAATTACATGTTGATGTATATCATTGTTAGCAACTTATTCTTATGATTCTAACACAAAATGCATAAAAGCACCTCTTCTATTCTTCTATTGGTTGTGAGAGGGTTTGGGAACAAAATTGGGTTTGCCTATTAAAAGTTTATCTCAGCAGTCAGATGATGTTGAATGTTCTAACAAAAAATTTTTTGAATTTTAAAAATAAAAAAAATTTTTCAAAAGGACAAAAAATATTTTCCTTAACTTGCTGGGGTTTTCATATTCTTGTTTACAAATTTTGGGATTTCTGTGGGGTTTTAATAATCTGTTTACACATTTTGGGATTTCCCCATACTTGCCAAATTGTTTGAGTTAGTCTTGTTCTGCTCCTTTGCCTGGGTGAATGGGTTTGGGTTTGGGTTTGGGTTTGGGTTTGGGTTTGGGTTTGGGTTTGGGTTGGGGTTTGGGTTGGGGTTGGGGTTGGGGTTGGGGTT